AAACTGGAAAACAGCAAAGTGTAGGTTTGGGAACTGCATTTCTGAGGAGGATATTTCTGCACATTTATTACTGCAGACCAAACAGAGTGCTGAATTCCTGTCTCTGTGCTAGAACGGTAAGTAGTGTTTTTCACACAGAAAGTCCTGCTGTGTGGGAAGTGGATGAGAAGCAAAAAGGACATTGTGCTCTGGGGCCAAATTGTAAAAATTGCCATAAGAGATGTGTAGATGGAAGCATAAGTTGCTGGGAAGGGAAGCAGAACTTCCCTGGTTTGTGCAGACAGTAAGACACTTCTAAGTGTGTTTGCTCAGAAGACATGATGAGGGGGGAAAAACCCCCCATGAATGTTTTCTGAGTAAAGATGCCTTTCCAGGAGAGCTCAGAGACTGATCCCAACTGTTTATGCAGGGAAGTTGGCACTCTGTCAGAGAGCATTGTTGTGACTGCAGAGTGTGACAAGCCACAGAAATTTGCAGATACTTTGTTTGGCTCTGAAGCACAACAAATTGCTTTCACAAATTTTTGCGTTTCTGACTAGAATGTGCATATTTGGTGTCTCAGAAATTAAACAGGGCAGCCAAGATGCCATTAACAATATTAGATAGGTGCAAACCACCATGATGTGCTGTCTCTGAGAGTAAAACTCTCACAATGAGAGATGTCCTCCTAGAGTAACAGTGAGCAAGGGTGAACACTGTATGTGAGTAGCAGCATGGAAAGTGGTGAGCACTGGTGTATGATAGCCCCAGAGGACACCTCAACCACTATATGCTGAGCAAAGCAGGCATTTTCATAGCTATGCTTTTTAGAAAAATGACAGTTTCAGAGCTTTTGCATATAGTAGGAAATCCAAGAGAGTATCAGTGGCAGTTGTACCTTATGGTGAATATGAGCAATATGAGGTTGAGCTCTTCTGCTACTGCTGAGAAAAGTTTTCAGGTCATTGTAATATGAGACACTTTGGAAACCATGGGTGATTCTTCTATCTAGGTCTGCGCTGGGGATTGTGATTTCTCACAGAGTGAGAACAAGGTGATAGTCAGGAATTGAAAGACTGAATTAATCATGGTAGGATGATCCTAGGAACATAATTAATGTTCAAGCTGAATGTACTTGCCATGTCTGAAAGTGCAGTCTTTGCTAGCGCTGCTGGTGAAAAGTTCTTTCTGCATGTGGCCTGGCAGTTGACAGTAATGTTGAATTTGACATACAGCTGTGAAATGTTACTTTATGGACAAGCCAGAATAGCCTTTTTCAAAACACTTTAACTCAAGGCTGATTTAAAAGTCACAAGGCTTTCTTAATAGAGTGTCAGGTTTGGGCTGATGCTGTAAACCCTCCAGGGAGCAAAGCACTGATTTACTGATGCTAGTCAGGTTTTGGGTAAGAGTTGGCTGCATTCCATCTGGCTTGCCTTGCTTGTGGAGTGAACATACTTTAAAACCAAGCTCATCTGGGATCAGCAAAAAGCTCCTTGACCAACACAAGCGATAAGGCAGCTTGCCAGGAGCTCATAATAGATGAGAGCATCCGCTTGTTGGAGGGGAAGACTGTGATGGTTATTCAAGCAAATACAGTGTGTTTTCTTTAGGTATGCAAATATGGTTATTAGCCCTTGATGGAGAAGTGCTGAGTATTGGTGCTTTTAGTGGTTCAGGTCATGAACTTATGTACAAGTAACAGAAATTACCATCTTGGATGTCATTAATTATTGAAGTATGTCATCAGTTCTTCTGCCCTGTTTTTTACTGCTAGAATTTGCTGTAAGGCAATGTGCAAACACAGGTGACAGAGCAAGCACCTGCCCATTCAAATGTATATAATATTTTGTCCAAACTGTTAAAAAAAGAATCACTGTAGTATTATTTGCTGCCATGCCTCCTCAAAACTCTTTGGGGAAATGAATTAAAAGTGCTGCCATCTGTTTATCTTACATTTAATATCAAGGGTAAAAAATGAGTGCCAGCAGTTTTGAAGCAGCATTATATAATGCTATTTTTAAAAATACATGCTAAGGATACAGTGAGTACTAGTGCATTGGTCCCACTTTTGGGATTGTTGCAGTGCTTTTTCAACAACATTTTAGTCTTTTTATCTTAAAAGAAAATAACTCTGTGTGAAATCTGGGGGTGATAATCACTGGGTGTAGATGATATTTTCTAGGAGAATTATTTTCTTCCAGAAGAAACACCAGGCACAGCAGCACCTGATTCTTGCTGAGCTCCAGGAGCAGCTGCATTGGCAGCTTCAAAGTTGAAGTCAAGTTTGTCTCAGGCTGATGCTGTTGGATTCCCTGGACTCTTTTTCATTCTCTTGGATGTGAATTTCTGTATTTTGTCTTTGAATTAGTGAAGTTCATCCAAGTTTTATCCCCTTTGAGCAAAAAGTTGCCCAAAAGAGAAGGTCTGTGGGTAGTTTGTTCTGAAAGGAGATGTTTCTGGAAAAACACACACCGAGCACCACTGGTTTATATTTCATTTTGTTTTTAAAGCACGCTGTGGTAGAAGAAACAGCTTTCCTAGTTCAGACAATTATGGGGTTTTGTTTTGTTTTTCTTTTGTTTTTTTTTCTTTTCTTTTTTTTCCACTTTTCCCCCTTTTTTTAAGCAACAAAGCTGAAGACAGGCAATCTCACTGGTACAAGTTATGACAGAAGAGCACATGGGGCAGTTCTCTTACATCAGTTATGCTTTAGTTTCTCACAGTATAAATTGGTAGTGGAATTAACTTGTTATTTCCTCAGTGTAAATTTAGTGCAATTAAGATGATTTTGCTCTCTTTGCTACATTATTTACTATATTTCACTTTGACTAACAGAGAAGACAGAAATCTCACCCTGTAGGTGATGTTTTGTACTTCTTGTAATATATGGCAGATGTTGAATATTGAGGCTATACAAGGGGAGAATTGGATATTAGAGGAGATAAATAAGAGTGGGGCAGGGGACTGAAGAAGAAAGACCTCAGGCTAAGCACCTTTCAGTGTACTGTTTAAGCTTTAATGACCCATATACGGATTTTAGCAACAAAGTAATGGCCAACTAGAGGAATTAAAGGCCTCAGGTGATGATCTAAACAGCAGAAGCTGGCAGAGGTCATAAATCCTGTTACAGTCAGACACAGGCTCTGCTAGGAGGTAATTTTTATGTTCCCAGTCTCTCTGCATGTATTCTAATTTGACAGGGTTTCAGGGAAGAGCTGGTGAAAGCTCAGTGTGAACTTTTCTTTGGGTTCCCCCATGTTTAAAGTTCTCATGTGCGGTCAGAGGTACTTTTCAGACCAATTGTTTGTATCCATACCTTTTTCCAGTAGCAATTTTTTATTGTTGTCCTTTAAAAAAACCCAAACATATCCAGATCTCTTTGAGCTTTACTCCAAGAAATTCTGCAGATTCTGAGGATCATACGAAAATTGTGCATAGCTCTTTCTTTGAGAAAAAAGCTTTTACTTAACTTACAGAATGTTAAAAGCTACTAGAGATGCACTGATGAATTGTTTTAAAATAATAATTGTAATTGCAATAGCTGCTTTGCATCTCAGTGGCAATGTGTTCAGCGCACTGGAAAGATTCCTCTGTGTTGACTCCCTGAATAGTGTGAGTTGGGGTGCAGGCCAAAGCAGGTTCTTTTGAAACATTTCTTCTCACCTCTTCAGCCAGGTTGAAAGGTTAACTATTTCCTGATCATGGAGCTTTCTTGGAGGTTTGCAATCCTGTCATCAGAATATCTATGATATACTCACTTTGAAGCTTCCTTATGGTGTTTTCCTTTTTGCTATCTGCCTTCTTGCTAGTGTGAACTCCAGAGTTTTGCTGCTGAGGATACTTATAGAGGAACACTGATTGAGCCAGATGCCATTTGCTATTGTGTCGTTTTCTAAGTGACGGGCTTGTCAGATTGAGCTCTTAAAACACAGTGTGAGAGATCATATGTACTTACCCTAATTTGAAGCCTGATGACCCCGGGAGTTATCTCAGCCTGACATGGCACTCTCAATAGGGTGGGTAATAGAGAGCTCCCTAGCTTCCTTTTTGCACAGTAGTGGAGTGAAACACATCTTTGGTGTTTCATTATTTTGTTTGATTAAAGAAGAAGGGTGACAAGAAAGTTCCAAATCATACAATACCGAAATATGCTACTCATTTTCATGTCTTTATTATTTACTTTGCTGTGGTGACTGATAGTCCTGCTCAGATGTATGTATGAGACAACAAGGCACCACCAACAGAATGACATTGGTAACAGCACATGGCTTGTCAGCATATCTTGCTAAAATATGCCATGACTTGTGGAACATTAAAAATGTAATATGGTATGAACATTAAGTATTTATTATGGTGTAAAAAGAAATTTAGTGAAGAGATAACCTTGGAAGTTCACAAATAAATATTTGTCAGTAGTCTGAAAACATGAGCTTGTGCCATTAAAAATACCCCAAAATATGGCAAAGAAATGCCATGTATTTATTCTCATGAGCTAATACAAATGAGTCCATCAAACCTGTGTTATGTTTGAGAGAAAGAAGATACTGTGTAAAACACTATTCTTAGGATAGATGTTGCATTTCGTTTAGAAAGCAACTCCGTTGTGTTGAATAGGAAAGATAATGTTTTGAAAAGACATGCTTGACTTTTGTCTGAGGCAAAAAATTATCTTTGAGTGTGGAAGTGAACTTGGTATCTGGTTGATCATATGTGAGTGATTCATTTAGAGGAAGCTGCGTAAGTAAAGCATCTCTAGCTGCAGCTCATTTTTGTCTCAAAGTGATGTTGAGTTTGACCAACAAGGTGAAGAAAATAGTACTGAATGGGAAAGTACAGTCTACACTGAACGTGCAGAACTCATGGACGTAGAAGATACTAAAATACAACTGCTTGTTGTCAGGGTATGAAATTAAGATGTCAGAAAAATCATCCAAGTCACTAAAAAAAATTATTAAAAAACCCAAACAATGCAAAATATGTAGATCCTTTTAAGATAACATGTATGTTTTGCTTTTCAGCTTCTCTTTTGAAAGGATTGAAACATGCTAATATTGTGCTGCTTCATGACATCATTCACACAAAGGAGACCTTGACACTTGTGTTTGAATATGTGGTGAGTAAAGTAACTAATGTCCCGGGTATGGTGTAGAGTGTATTGAATTTGATAGGAAAGCGCTCTTTACTGTCGATGGTCTATGGATCAGGCTAAAATAACCCTTTCTTCAGAAGAATGGAGGCTATAAGAGATAATGCTTTTTAGTGTGGGGTGGTCTAAAACTAGAAGGCTGGGCTGGACCAGATTCAGAGACGGAAAAGTGGCTATTGGGGTCCTCTTGAAGAATCTTAAACTGTTCAGTTGACTTTTCAGACTGGTTTCGTACTATGCTTCCTAGTTGTAGTTCATTTATTAGAGTTTTTTCTTCACTGATGTGATCAGGTAACTTTTAAAAAGCTGAGAATAATGGAGGTAAGAAGAGAAATGGAACTGAAATGCTTTACAGGAACAGGTAGTTCCTCATCAAAAGCATGTAACAAGTTTAAATGGCTTTTGTTGTGACAGGCTTGTCCAGTGTCTTTTTATTAATAATGTCAGTAAAAAAGAAGTCTGGCACAGGCAGTTTAGAATTTTTGATTATTTTTTTTTTGTCATGACTGGTGTTTCACCTACTAATTAAAACTTCAGTTTACATAGTACACAGTGTAATGATCTAATTGTGTTCAATGTATTACTTTCCAAAGTCTTGGGCTTGGCATCCTGATTAATCTTTTTAGTTTTTCTAACACAAACATATGGCATTTATGTAGAACAACTTCAGCACTTAGCTGTGGAATTATGCAATGTACTATCATAATTAACCACCCCATTTTCACAGATGGGTCTGAGAACATGTAATTTAGAAGAAATAAATGAGTTTAGAGAAGGTTAGATTTTCAGTATAATGTCTATTATTGTGTTGTCTGTAGGACACTGCATTTAAAAAGTACAGTGATTACTAGTTTCAGTACATCCCTACTTAAGACAAATGGAACTGTTTTGTGTGTTTATTGGGAGCGTGCCTTAATTTTTACATGATAGTGCACACAGTGTGTTGTCTGGAGAAGCCATTCACCTTGTCTATTTACATAGAAATAGAAATCCTACAGTGTAATGATGTGGTTATTCAGCTGTAAGATCCTGCAGAGCGGTTGCATGCAGTACATATTTGTTTACCTCAGGTATAGGACCTTTAATGAAAATTTAATTCCTTTTCTTAAATCAGTGTTTCTTCTGCTCCTGACTTATACACTGAAATAGCATAGGAAAAGCCTTGGTATTTAACTGTATATATCAGTCAGTGTAGAGTTATTTTCATAACTTTACGTGAACACATTTTGCAGTCCCTTTTATCAGCAGCTGGATTTAGCTGTATTCATCAGAACTGATTGAGAAATTAGATGTACAGATGTTTCTGCCTAAAAGAAACGTTTTTGCCTATTAAACAAACGCAGACACTGACTCACAGACCTATGTTATATCATGTCGCTGTCCACGATAAGCACAGACACAGACTATGCTTCATGCAGGAACTACTTCTGGATTTACTTAGCTGTTTGTTTTTTGAGAGGGTGCTGTTGGGATCAACCCTGCCAGTGACTGCCCCTTTTTATTCCCATGGTATTTGGTAGCTACTGAAACTATTTAAGGTTTGTATCAACTGGTCCTAGTAGTACTTCAGGATTTTGGCTGGTTGGCAGAGCCTCCCAAAGTGGTGTTCAGGAAGAAGGGGAAGAATGCTTTGTTCTCTCCAGCCAGCCTAGAGACTGTATTGTAATGATGTTGTACCTTGCTCCTATGCCTTGAGATGATGAAATTGCTTAAATCAAAAGTAAATTTTCAACGTAAGGTAACATAAAGTTATAAGCTGATCAAATAGCTAGTGCTTACTGGTTGAGAATTCCCATATAACCTGATTGAGTTCTTGTGGGTGTGCATGGTTACAGGTTTTAATTGTTTGAGTACAATAACTTTTTTTGTTCCTTTTGTCAAAAAGGTCTCATTCAGTGCATAATAAGAATGTGCAGAGGCAAAAATTACAGTTGCCATTTAAATCTCCAAATTTTGGCTGGTTAACTATCCAATCTAGCTGCGTAATTGGTGTTACTGTGCTATGTATCTGTAATGTCTGTTTTGGTTTTTTGTTTAACACCTATACATGATTTAGACCAGTAATATGGGTGATTTGTACTGAAATTAATAGAAATATTTGTGGGCTTAAAATTACACTGTGGCATACATTTTTGAATGACTAAGGCCTAGCAAACCTAAAAGGGGTTGAATTTAATTTGCTTGGTAAAGTGACATCATGGAACTGATACATTGTTGCCCTTAATCACTATTGACCATTTCAGACACAGTAAAAACCATTTGAGTGAGATGTCATAGTTAAATTAAGGCTGAACAGTTAGTGATCCAAGAGTTCTCAAAAATGGAAACTTTGGTTCTGCTAGGTGATGATTCCATCGGGAAATTAATACTGATGAAATGCGTGAGGTTATCAGAGGTGTTTGGTTTCAGTGTTGACCCTGAAAGAGTAGAATGAAATATAATTTAATGTAGCACCTTTCATTGCAAAATGCATTGCAGTAATAAGTTAAAAACTAAAAGCATAACAGCTTCTGAAAGGAAACATGGCTGTCATTAAATTCTTCGGGCTCCTCAAACTAGAATTTTTTTAATATGGAAGTCTGTCAGATGAAAACGTCGCAGAGCTTTTTAACTTAAACTCGGATGTACCCCAGGACCAAAAGAAAGTCAATCTTTAAAAATCCTGTCTGAATTTTGAAGATCAGGAAAAGTTCATTCTGCATGTAAACGTTTTGGTGGTGAATGTAAAGTCCTACGTTTCTGTGGAAGAAGAGAAGGGGAGCTTGTTCCTTTTGCATGAAGTAATTAAAAATAGTATGTAGAGTACATTGCTGGTATGGCATGATTTCTGTGTATGATTTGGTAACTCTTACATCAGCTTTGATTATTGTTGATCATGCAAGAATACCAAAAAGAGAGCTGAGAGTTCAGTTTCATCACTGGATGGTTGAGAGCCGTTGCTCGTTACCTGAAGAGCTTTGAGAATGAGCAGCTTAGAGTCACCTCTACAAAACCTGAAGGGCTGATAGTCTTTTACACATGAACAGTTTCCTATAGTTAACTGAGTTGTGCTCTATAAGACCTAAAGCCAAAATGTGACATTTTGATACAATTTGTGTATGGTATGGTAGGAGACCACAGTGACTTCCAAAAGAAATTGTTCAGTTCAGCTTTCCAGTTAAATGGAGGAGTGTAACTGTTCACGTAAGTTTGGTTCACCTGCTCTCCATGCTGTTTACGTGTTAGTTTATGTGACCTTGTTGGTATGCCATCTGTCATGCAACTGTCACCGATGCAGCCAACTTTGCCCAAGGAGGTGATGGGTTTTACAGGTGAGATCTCAGACGTATTGAGAGATCTTTGAAGATGGGTTCACATCTGTTTGTTCTAAAATGATAATTAGCTATTACCATTTGTTTCTTCACTTGTTTATTTAAAAAGAAGATGAGTGTATTTAGAAACATGTACTTGCTGAAAGGCAATCCTAAGCAATACATATTGCTACAGGCTCAGTAGAATGATAATGAGGGTTTTAATATTATGCATAATTATGTAAGAATATTATTATCAATAAATGAACCAGCAACTTGTTGTACTCCTGGCATATAAAAGTGAGCTTGTATAGCAGTACTTTAGATTACGCTTTCAATATTTACGAACTAGATTTGAAGCCAGAACAGATAAATTTATAATCGGAAGTATGAGTAATGAGCAATATGCTTTCTGCCTCAACAGTGAAAAAGCTCCTGACTAATCTAATAGTGTAATTTAAACCCAAGCATTTTCAATTATCTTGCCTATTTTAATCTCTGTGTATGTTTTCCCTTCTTAAAAATTACTTTCCATTAAAGAAGAAAGTTTAATTCTCATTGCTTCATTACAGCAGCTAAAATAGGTTGTTACAGAATGAGTTGGCTTCATAAAGTTCATTAGTTACATTTTCTTCCTATTTCCTGTAAGAAAAAAAGAGGTTTCAGTTTTTCATTTTAATGCTGATTAGAAATGGAGATATATATGCTATCTATTTGAATTAAGAGTTACAGAGCTGAAGTTTCAAAACCTGAGATTTTGAGTTTGTTGTGAAAAGTATTATGCAAGGAAATAGTCAAGATTTATTAGCAAAAAGGGTTAACGTTTTTTGCATTGAAAATTTTGAATTTCTGACAATTTTGGATAATTTGGATTGGACACTGTTATTGCTCATTTGTGAAACCAAATAAAAAATACCACATTATCTTCATGAGTGAGTGGGAAAGCAGGGAAAATCAGGAGCATCCCATAGCTCTAATCACTAGAATAATTCAGCAGTGCCTAGTACTGAAAAGAAATTAGGGAAATTGGCACAAGAAGGAAGGAGGGGTCTTCTAATATTTCATTGGGAGTGAAACTTATTTGGAGGCTGCATTACCTTATTTTGATATGAGGGTGAAATGATGGGCAGTTTTCTTCCCATTTGAGGTCAAGGTGCTTGTCCAGATATGGTAAGCAAGGACGGAAAGCTAGTGAAGCTCTGCAAAAAGTCAGATGCCTCCTACCATACTCTTGGCAGACACCCCTGCTTGCCACAGATGTGCTTCATCCACCTTGGGAAGAAGCGGAGCTATTGAGGGCTTCCAGCATGGAAGCAATTAAATTTTGTAGTTTCCATTTGCCTTGTCCAGAGAAGGAGCTGTTCTCGGTGCAGCTTCTGCCTCATGTCCCAGCCTTGTGACACTGAAACTGCAGTCAAAAAGATGGCAGAACAAGGCTGAGAGGAAGCAGAGAGAAAGAAAGTCCCCAGGCAATAAGGGAATACTGCTCTTGGGAAAGTTTTGTTTTTCAAGTTTTAACGAGCAGATCAGAGACAGGAGCTGCTGATGTCCAAGTATAGGTTGGAAATGCAAACAAAATCAGCTTCTGGGGATAGGGATTCAGAAGGGATTTCAGAAGGAAATTGCTTGATGCTTTGCCGAGAGGTGAAGACTGTGCCAGACATGGAATCAGCAGGA